ATCCTAGATCCTATGGATCCTAGATCCTATGGATCCTAGACTACTGTAGTCCAGATTTTTTCAGAACCACTATCAAAACGTTGAAGCACGACAAACGCGAACTACAACAAAGAATCGAAGCATTATTACGCGTGGACTAATTTTTTCTCACTGGAATTTTGGATTATCATACCTTTTCGTGTCAAATAAAACATTCCACCCTTCATTTTTTTTTCTTATTCTCTCTCAATTATTTTTCTCCAGGTATGTTCAAGTATGTCCCTTAGGGACTACTGTATTAGATTTGTTTTCTTTTTCCAGGTTATCAGCATTTCTGAATTTTCTCCAACTTTTGATACTAGTTCACGTCTACTTTCAGTTTGACAAGATTGAGAATGAGAGTGTGAGGTAAGCGTGGGAAACCATATTTTATGTATATCATCTCGTTGCAATGTGAAACACGCCCGTATATATACGTATATTGTCTATTCAAAATAATCGCGCGGGNGAACGAGTANAAATGTCTGCGTCTCTACAGCGCCTCTACAGGTTTGGAGACTCTCTACACGTTTTTTTACTCGTTCACCCGCGCGATTATTTTGAATAGACAATATAAAGATTCTTTTTCACTCAAATTTTCCCTTCTACATAAATTTGACCCGCCAACCACCAGTCATTGACCAGTCAGCGCTTCTTCGACTGTCAATTAGCAGTCGTTCAACAACCTATTTTTAGAGGTGGTCTGATATGAGCAAAACTAGCTTTTGTCATTATTCTATAATTTAGTGGGAGTATGGAAAATTGTTTTCTGAACGATTTCCAATCACAACCTGCAATTCAGTTTTCCAACGGGTTCCGACTGTCCGTCGACGGACCGTCGACGGCCCGTCAGTTCTCCTTCGACTGCCAACTAGCAGTCGTTCGCCAGTTTGCGCCTCTTCAGCTGTCATTCAGCGGTTTTTCGGCAGTCCCCCTCTACCTGTGTAGCTCAGTGGCAGAGCGTCTGTCTCGTAAACAGAAGGTCGGCGGTTCAATCCCGCCTGGGGGCATTTGTTTTTCGATAATTTCTTTTTTCATATTTTTTTTTGTTTTTCAGAGACACCACCAATTTTATCTTCCTGGTTCACTTTGGGGTTTCCTTGACTATGATTTGTTTGGCGTTTTGGAATAGGAAGATTACTCCTAATATGATTGGATTTTCTTTGTACTCGTTTGCAGGTAATTGGGAGCTCAATTATCTCGGTTCCTATGAAAGTTATCAAAAATCTGTCAACTGATAAAATGTGTTTCATAATGTCAGTAACATTTTGTCAGTTGAAAAATTTTTAGTATTTTTCACAGGAATCAAGATAATTAAGTTCAAAGTGGACAGGTTAGGTGGGCTACTATTAGGAGAATACTGTAGAAATGCGAGCCTTTTGAGATCAATTATCTCGGTTCCTGTAAAAAATGTCAGAAAGTTGTCGACTGATAAACTGTTTGTACATAACATTTTATTTGTTGAAAAATTTTTCGATATCTCTCATAGGAGTCGAGTTAATTGAGCTCAAAGTTGGCATATTGGTATGTTCCTATTAGAGGAATACTATAGAGTTCAAATAACTTAGAGCCCAAATTATCTCGGCTCCTGTGCAAGATATCAGAAATCTGTCAACTGATAAAATGGTTGTCTTAATATCACTGACATTTTATCAGTTAAAATTTTTTTGATATCTCTTATCGGAATTGAGATAATTGATCCCAAAGTCTATCGTAAACACTACTAGAAGGCGATCCTATAATTGCACTTTGAGCTCAATTATCTCAGCTCACGCCAGAGAAGTAAAAAATTTGTCAATTAATAAAATATTTATCATTCCATCACCTATATTTTATCAGTTGACATGTTTTTGATATCTTTCATAGGAACCGAGATAATTAAGCTCAAAGATAAGGTATATTCAAATTCTTTTTAGGATCCCTATCTTTCTACTTCATCAATCGTCAGTATCTGGAATACACAATTTTAGAGAACTGGTCAATCGTTCTGGCATCCTGTGGTTTTTGTTCTCTCTCAACATCCTGGTGGAGCGTCTATCAGTACAAATTTCAGAATCTCTGGTAGTACTGTAACTTCTATTTTCTTTTTTGTGTGTCAGTGTGTAAAACAATAAATTCCGGAATTTTCCTTGTGCATATTTATTAAATCAAGTTTCAAGCGCGCATAAAAAGAAGGGGAATATATGGACAGAGAATACTACAAAAAATTCTGGAAAAGAAAAAAAAAGTTCGCGAAGGACGAACGGGGTTTCTACAGACTTGGGCAGTGGGAGTGCTGGTCTTCGATATTATAGAGGTGGTTCTCCCACTACGGGCGACCTAAATTTGAATAAATCGGGGTAAGATACGGTAGATGGTATACAACGAAATGTCAAAAGTCTCTGGGGGTGATGAAGCTGAACCACTCGCTTTCCAACAATACGAAAAATCCACGTGTCGGGGGATTAAATAGGATCAGAAGGCATAAATGGAGGTCGGAGAAGATAAATGGCAGAGAATATATAGAGTTGAGGGAGTACGATACAATATTTAGCTCCCGAGGGATGGATACACAAAAGGGGGCAAGTGCGCTCGACTGAAGTTCTCAATGGGGCGCACTTGCCAGATTTTGTTGACAAGTTATGGATAAGGCGCTGCGAATAGGATAACTTTAAAAAAGGGGGATTAAATATGTGACACAAATCGTGGGACGTATTGTTCAGTAGTGACATACCCGCGTCGACACGGCGTAACGAATGGTTGACAATTTCAAGAGAGTTTCAGAGGGTTTAACATTGGATTACGGTACCTTAAAGGGAGGGGGGGGCGCTGAAAAATGAAAAAAAAGAGAAAAAGACAGAAAGGGGTTCATGTTTTTTTTGGGAAAGACGACGTAGTAGTATGTCCCTATGGACAAGGTGGCTCCGTATCAGACATCAGTATACATCGGGGGTACAGTACCTCCTCAAGTACAAAGACATCAATAGGTGCTGTCGTTTGACCAGTCAGATTGCAAGCTTAGGGCATGAGACTCATTGTGTTTGGTTGTCTACATGTTTCGTGGAACCCAGGGGTGTGTGAAGGATGAGAGAAAGAGAGAAAGAAAAAGAGATAGGGGGATTCTTGTCTAAACGAGAGGAAATAGATAGATAAGATGGAAAATATGTGAAGAGAAAAAAAAGAAAAAATCGCTAGCTGATGGTAACACTACGATGGTTGGAGGCTTCTGGAAACTGATGGTAAGGATCCAGGTGATTGTCGTCGGAATTTCTGGAGATGGTGGTTCTGAAAATGAAATGCAATCTATTAGAAAAGGAGCATTCGAAATGGGGCCAACTAAAATAGATATGATAGAAATCGACGAGTACGACAATCATTACTATGTGTGTCTGTGTCCGTTTGTTGTCGTGTCGCCGACCCTTGCAAAGTCCCCACTGGACCAAAATTTCCCAATTTTTCACAGATAATCCGAAATAGGAGCGAGATGATGCCCGTCTATTTTGATTTTGATAATATCGAAAATTGCACTCTTGGGACTACGAAAACCTCTTTTTCGGAATATTTGGGGTTTTCTATTCTCAAGGTAGGTTGACTGGTATGGTATTATTTAGAGAACTGTGTCTTGTCTATGAACAAAGTTACGACAAAAAACAGGACCGGACCTCATAGACAAGATACAGCTCTCCCAAATATTATCATTGTGTAATACTCGTCTAGTCCTATCATATCTAATCTAATTGGCCTGAAAATATTGATGACCCGGCGAAGGCACGGTTCGCAAGTATGCAATAGGGCGAACTTACCATTATGATCACAAGGTGGATGTAATTTTTGAACTTTCAGAAGTCGTCGTTGAAGACGTCGTCATCGGATGAGTAGGGAGATCATGTTGGCATTCTTTAGACACATCACGAAAGAAGCATCCCAATGGGGGACGGCCTCTTTTTACCCAGAGGTTTCAGGATAGCAGATCCTGAAGAAGACGATTTGTGTTGTTTGTGTTAAATGATAAAGAGAGAAAGAAAAGAAAAAGAAAATGTTGTTTGTGTGTGTGTGTGTGTGTGTGTGTGTGTAGAAATGAAAAGTTGAAACAGAGGAGAAAATTGTAAAAGAAGGGAAAGGTGAAATGGACGGTAGCGAGAGAAAGAAAAGGTGAGTCGCGCGCGCGGTCGGTCGATTCGGGTAGCAAGTCAGAGAGGATGTGTGATAAGCGGAGATTCAGAGAAAGATCGCAAGGACCGGTTCCTGTTGCTTCGTCGGAGGGCGCCATCCCCTCCATCCAACACCACCACCGTCCAATTTCGCGTATACTAGGCGGCTAGGCTATGCGGCTAGCCATCATAACATAATGGAATGAGAATAGGAGGAGAGAAGAAAAAAAAAGAGAAAGTAAAAAAGAAGAAGACAACGACGCCTGCATTTTTACGCCTGCTATATAGCTGAAGTTGTTGGCCGACTGCCAGAGGGGGCTAGAATGCGCGCGCGCGACACGAGCGGGGCGGAAGGAGGGGCGTGGCCACCCCTCTCCGAAGCTCATCGATCCGCGGCGCCAGCCGGCTGGCAGCGAGCCAAGTAAATAGAGAGTGCGGAGTTTGAAGAGAGCGCCCGACGCGCTTGCTATACGAATATTCGAAATGTCTGGGGCCTCTTTTGTTCTGCGCACTCTCTCGCGAATTTTTTTCTCGAGGAGAGGGGGCTGGGGAGAGGGTGCCCAATGACTTCTCCGGAGCAGCAGCTCGAGAAAAAGGAGAAGAAAAAGACAGGGTGTAAAAGAGGAAGAGAGTGTGGAAGTTTGAGAGAGCACCCAGAGATTTTCAATTTCGTGTAATTGCTTTTTGGAGCAGCAGAAGCAGTCACGGAAACAGCGCACGCCTTCTCTGGAAGCGACTTGGCATCGCGCCAAAAAATAGACTGAGGGAAAGTAAGGAAAAAAGAGGAGTCTTTCAGGAGAAAGTGTGTCACCCACCAACGATTCATTGAAAGTGCAGGCGGAGAGAAAAAAAGTGTTGGAGGAGAGACGAGAGATACTAGAAGGTATTTGATCACGAAGAGCAAATAATGTTGCGAAGTGAGAGATAATGGGAAGAGAAGAGAGTTTAGGAGAGAAAGAGAAAGAGACCGACAACTTGGAGACGATTTATAACTTTTTGACCAGACCGATTTGTACTCTTTGGATTGATGAACAAAGGAGGAAGTCTTTGAGACCCATTCGCAACTTTTAGGACCCTTTTAAAGGGTCCAGAATGTTCTTACACTCTGCAAATTTTATATGTAATCTTTGGTATAGAAACCGGAAAGGGTTTGCGCATAGTTAGGTTGGTTGTAACAAGTGATTAGTGGGTGATTATCACAGAAAGAACAGGAATAGGGCGTGTGTATTCAGGAAATGTGTACCTTGCAGGTGTAAGGTTTTTTTGGATTCTTTGCAAATCCCAATTTATGGGTGAGCTCATGAAAAATGAGCCTGTAAAAACGTTGTCCCTTTTGGCTACCTCGGCCCCGCCGCCAACTTTTTCGAAGGTTGGCCAGCTATAGAGCCGTTCTTGGGCAATTTCCGACCAAAATCTGCCCATGACCCGCCATATATTCGTTTTGGGCAATTTCCGACCAGTACCTTACCAATATCCGCCTTAAAGCTATAAAATCTAGGATGCATAGGTTGGTTCCTAAAAACCAGAATCTATAGGATTTTTGAGGATTTTAGGAGTTTTAGGATTCTATTGGAATTTTTGGCTAGGAAATAGTAAATATAATCTACACTTTGAAAAAACCGAAACATTGATTTTTGGTTTCAGCTCCTGGCAATGACGACTACAATTCTCTCTAATCCGGGATTCTGACCATGAGACAACAAATCTTGTCTACGACGAACATTATTAATCCGATAATCCGAAATGAATCAGAGAATAATTGGAAATTATAGTTGAATCTTAGAATTTCAGAATCTCAGAACCTCAGAACCTCAGAATCTCAGAATTTCAGAATTTCAGAATTTCAGAACCTCAGAACCTCAGAATCACGGAATCTCAGAATCTCAGGATCTCAGAGTTTCCGAAACTCAGAATCTCAGAATTTCAGTATTTCAGAATTTCAAAATTTCAGAATATTCTATAATAGTTCACCTTTCTATTCCTCATAATCCACTATATAAAGTGCACAATTCAGTTCCAGGTACTAACTATTTCCAGCTGACTTCTCTGCACTTTTCCACATCAGATGACAACAAGAAGATTCTTCTTGTCGTTGTCATCGTGTAGCTATTTTCGAGACACTCCTCGTATTTTTTGTTTTTCCGTTCTCTTTCCAAAAAAAAAACGAAAACGAACAACAAAAAACAACATGACAACAAAAAGTGTTTTCCGTTTTTCCCATTTTACCCCTCGCATGGAATATATGGGTATTCGTATAGCGAAGAAGGGGATCCCATATATTTTTTCGCTTCTCACGGAAGAGGAGGGATAGAAAACATAAAAGTGCACGACGATCATTGGAGCAGAGTGAACTCCAACTGACGTCATCTGAAATATTCTGGAAAAGGAAGAGGAGTGGGAAATCGTCTCCGAAGCCAATAAAATGTGAGTCATACTGGAAGGGGAAAGAAGAAGAAGAAGAAGAGAAAAGGAAGACAAATAGAAATAGGAGAAGAGAGAAAAACCATTATGGATGAATAGGACGATGACGATGATGTGAGATGAATGGTAAAGTATGATGGCTGGAAATGGATGAATATGCATTGAGAGAAGAGATGGGATTAACCTGGATAGGTGGTTTGGAAATGACAGTTTCTCCTCTTCTGGTGTTTCTAGTGAAAAATAATAAACCTGTTGGTTTCAATTTAAAAGACCAAACATCACAGACAAAATAACTTTTGTTGTTGTTATTGTTGACTGAAATATTATAGTGAACAGCTGGAAACAGGTCAGTGTCGTAACTTTGGATAATAATACAATGGTATTGAAGTTTAGGGTATACTATCATCTGAAAATTAGCTGACAAAAATATACTGTAAATACCAAAAGAATGACCGGATCATCCGAATTTCAGCCAATTTATATCAGTCCCTGTAAAAGATATCAAAAATCTGTCAACTGGCTAAATGTTTATCTTAATATCAACAACACTTTGTCAGTTGACCACTTTTTGATACCTTTTACAGGGACCGAGATAAATTGGCTCAAACTTAAAAGTTAGAGTGTGCGGTCTAGTCAACTTTGACCACTTTTTTCTTGGTTACTGAAAAAGATATCAAAAAAGGGTCAACTAACATAATGTAGTTGGTATTATGATAAATATTTTATCAGTTGACTACTACATATTTGATATCTATCACTGGGACCGAGATAATTGATCTCAAAGTGGCAATCTTTTTAGTGGGTTTCACAAATTTCGGAGCCAAATTTCTATTATCAATTGAACGTGGTGAAAAAACTTTCTTAAAAAATGCACGTGTCAAAAAAGCTTATGAAAAATTTAATATTAGACAAAAAAGCTACGTGAATTGGTAATGACCTTCCATGTCCCATTGACCTCGGGAAGATTACTATAAAGGAAGATGGAAGTGGAGGAAAGAATCAGTTCTCCCTTCTCGGGGCTCCCGAGAGGGCTTCCGGGCTTCCGGGCTTCCGGGCTTCCGGGCTTCCGGGCTTCCGGTCCTGGGTCCTGGGTCCTGGGTCCTGGGTCCTGGGTCCTGGGTCCTGGGTCCTGGGTCCTGGGTCCTGGGTCCTGGGTCCTGGGTCCTGGGTCCTGGGTCCTGGGTCCTGGGTCCTGGGTCCTGGGTCCTGGGTCCTGGGTCCTGGGTCCTGGGTCCTGGGTCCTGGGTCCTGGGTCCTGGGTCCTGGGTCCTGGGTCCTGGGTCCTGGGAACTCCATAAAAAATAGAACAATCTCCTGTCTGCCCACTCCTTTGAAACACCCCCAAAAGTTTTTTGTCCTACTATTTTTTTTTCTCAGAATTCATGACGAATCGCTTACTCGATTATCTGTAATCATATTTCGTTTTCTCTCAAATTGATATGTTGATCTAGAGACGTTTGATTCATTGTGTAGATTTGTTCTATTATAATTGAATCACATAATTTATTTTTCGATAAACCGATCAATTCTGAAACCCTTTCCTTGGCTGGACCATGGTAGTGGCGGGAGAGAACATAGGTCTGAAAAGTTACCAAATTTATCAGTGTATCATAAAGAAAAGACCGTAAGACCTGTAATAGAAGGGTCTCCAAGTTTGACCTAATTTATCTCCGCTTCTATGCAAGATATCAAAATGTCTCAACTGATAAAATGTTTGCGTTATGATGATAAACAATTCATCAGTTGACAGCTTTTTGATCTTTCACAGGAGCTGAGATGAATTGGCTCAATGTCAAAATAGGAGGGCCCTTATATTAGAGGTTTTTGAAACTCACTTCTCTCTACAAGAAACCACTCGTCGAAAAGCTGGAAATGTGAAAACCATAACAATGGTACTCATGATAGAGTGTGTAGAGAATAGACAAATTAGAAGATTACAGAATGCTTCGAATCCTTCAATGTGTAGAATGACATCGCCAAGCAGAACAGCTAGAGGGATGGCCAACCAGATGACAAGGACTGTTAGCTGAAAATGGGTTAAATTACCGTAAAACCTCTAATTTAAGAGGAAGGGGGGGGGGGGAGATATGGAAAAAAAATTTTCTCGAAATTTCGTTCATATAAGCTTTTCGAGCAGTTTAGCTTGTTGGCCAGGCCCACATTTGGGCTACGGTAGCCAATTTTAAGCTGATTTATCTCGGTAATTGTGAGAGATATCGAAAAGTGATCAACTAATAAAATGTTTACCAGAACATCAATAACATTTTATCAGTTGACAGTTTTTTGATATCTTTGATAGGAAATGAGATAAATTAGATAAAAAGTGAAATTATTCCTCACCTGTGCCACCAAACTCAAAACTGCTGAAACATGTTTTGAATAAGTTCTCGCTGCCATAAATTGCCGATGACCATGCAGCATTTGTAGAATTTGAATGTAATAAAAAAGGAATAACGAACAAAATAGGACAAAAGTCCCTATCATTATCACTAATGTAATTTTAATGGAAACAGACGATGTTGAGTACAATTCTGCATTAGGTAGGGATAGCAAATGAACTAGTTTTGGATATTCAGCATTGGCTATTTCAATTTCTTCGGCTTTATCCAAATTTGAGAATCCAAATGATACACTGATAAGAAGTGGTGGGATATGAAGTAGAACTTTGATAAGATACTTTCGGAAAGTTCCCATTATTCGTTTTTGATCTATCGCTGCCACACTTTGATGTTTTTTGATAAAACTGCACAGGAGAGAGGTGATTTGAAGAACTATCAAGGTGAATATTATATTCTGAAAAAAAGAATTTCCAGATCGTATTCGTTTCAAAAATGATCTACATAAACACCTGCAATAGAAGGGCCCCGTCAACTTTGAGCCAATTTATCTCGGTTCCTGTCAAAGATATTGAAAAGTTGTCAACTAATAAATTGTTTATCATAATATCACAAACCAATATTTTATCAGTTGACACATTTTTGATATCTTGCATATGAACTGAGATAACTGAGCTCGAAGTAAGGTACATACAATTTGATAATGTGTCCTAATCGATAAAATTTTCGAATAGAACCCATGAGAAACTCCAAGAAGTGCCGGAAAATAAGCTATTGGAGATACCAGTAACGTCAGATGAGTGTCTAGTAAAAAGCATATTATCTGAAAATCCTTTTTTTGATTTTCACAAAATTTTGCTCTACCTGAAAATAAAGCATATAATTTCGATAAGTTCCAACATTTCCAGATTTAAAAATCAGTAGATAAATTGCTAATGTGTTATTTAGAACACAAACGATTCCGGTGAAATAATAGAAACGAATCTGTAGAGTTTCATCAAAAATCATGGGATTGAAAAACTCAAGACTAGTCACTATTTGTTGGGGAGAAAGAGACTGGAAATTCAATTATGCTCATTTGATGAAAAAGAGAGAATTGGAAGAAATTGAGTTGTGTCAAATTATTTATCAGGTGAGCAGGTGGTATGCATTATCGAAGATGACTAAAAACAATATAAACCTGTATCAGAAAGACCGGTTCTTCTATTACAGGGGTTCTTCGAAAAACCCGATTTTGGCCAAATTTGCAATTCTAGCCAGGCCCGCGGCATGTTAACGGACCTGAAGCCGGCCCGTATGGTAAAGCTAAGATAGACCTCGTCGAGATCTATCATTTAATATCAAATTCGTCAAAATATCTTGTTCTGAAGCCGAGTTATCTGCCGGTCCGTCATTTCCCCGACCCGGCCTGTTTGCAACTCTCTTGAATAACCTGAATTTCGTTAAATCAGAAAAAAAGTATTTATTGAATCGGTGAAAAATATTTCAACAGAATTTATGACATTCGAACACTGACATTAGTTGAGAACGCGTTACTTCCAGTGTAGACTTGCTTGTTGCGGCTGAAGAGTTCTTAAAAAATCGTATGTATTACCCTCCGATAGAAGGAATCCTCAACTTTGAACCCATATATCTCATTTCCTGTATGAGATATCAAAAAGTAATCAACTGACAAAATATTTATCAGAATATCACCAACATTTTATCAGTTGACGGATTTTCGATATCTCTATTAGGAACCGAGATAATCAAACAGTACTTACTACTCAAAGCGTTCCGATAGTCCGACACGATATACATCAGCAGAAAGCTATCAATCGGTGGATACAAATTGAACAGACTGTAGATGATTCCAGACTGAAAACTCATTTTCATGTTGAGAAATGGTGCGAAGAGGACAGGAACGATGGGTACATGGAATAGTACGGTAGGCACAGTAATCTGGCAGACAAGAGTTTTGAAGAATTGCTTTTGAAGTCGTTGATGGGTTATCGAGAAGTGCTTGAGTTTTTCGACCATTTGAAAATGCATACTGGTTCCGCAAAATATCATTATGACGTATTGAATAAGCTGAAATCATATAAAATTGATTTTAGGAAGAATTAGTAAGAAAGGGTACCAAAATTGAAACCGTGCCACACCAGAACAATAGAGCGCTCTTCCTTAATTGGAATTGTCCGGGGGTTGTCACACTGGGCTCCTAAACTTCAAAAAATTATTTTAAAATCGTTACAGGGCCCCTTACATATGCCACAATAATCATTCCAGCAGTTTTATTGATGTTCATACTGTAGACATTGCTCATTTCGTCACTTGTGTAATCCATTGAGTATTCATCAAACTTTCCACAGAAGAAGCACAAGAATATCCAAAGAGCGCCGAACAACATGGAATAGGACACCCATATAGCCATTTTCCATCCTTTGAATAAGATTGTGGCCATGTCTTGGCTGGAAAACAGTTTTCAGAGTTTTGGAAGCTAGAAACTTTGAGCTCAGTTATCTCGATTCCTGTGAAAAATGTCAAAAAGTGATCAACTGATAAAATATTGGTGACATTATGATGAATAATTTATTGGTTGACAGATTTTTGATATCTCTCAGAGCAACCGAGATAATTGAGCATAAATTGAAAGTACGTGGTTAACTTAGAGCAAATACTGTAAACACTCTAATGGAACGACCATATGAACCTTGAACTTTGACCCGATTTTCTAGATTCCTGGATAGATTTTAAAATATTGTCAACTGATAAATTATTTACCATGTTATCACCAACATTTTATCAGTAGACAGACTTTTAATATCTCTCATAGGAACCGAGATAATTGAGCTTAAATTGGAAGTACATGGCGAGCTTCAATTAGAGCAAAGACGGTGTTCTAGTTTAGTGAAATCTGGAATTTTTATTGTGTTATCGAAAATTTCCGGAATTTTTTTTTCTAGAAAATACAAAAAATCTAAATTCAAAACAATTTAACCAATGAACCATATCTTGATGTACCCCACGAAGCTACTGTAAACAATCTAATGGAACGACCATATTAACTTTCAATTTTGAGCTAATTTATCTCGTTTCCTGTGAAAGATAACAAGAAGAGATCAACTAACAAAATGTTATTGATATTATGATGAACACTTTGTCAGTTGACAGTTTTTTGATATCTCTCATTGGAACCGAAATAATTGAGCTCAAATTTCAAAAACTGGGATACCCGAGTCAGAGCTGCCGAACGAAAATCCTTTCAATTTGGAGCTAATTTATCTCGGTTTTTGTGAGAGACATCAAAAATGTGTTACCGTAAAACCTCTAATAGAACGACACCCGGAACGTCCACTTTGAGCCTATATATCTCACTTCTTTTGAAAGGTATCAAAAAGTGGTTAACTAGTAAAATGTTTATCAGGATATCAGCAACATTTTACTAGTTAGCCACTTTTTGATATCTTTTGCAGAAAATGAGATATATAGGCTCAAAGTGGACGATCCGGGTGTCGTTCTATTAGAGGTTTTACGGTAACTGATAAATTGTTTAAGATATTATGATAAACAATTCGTCGGTTGACAAATTTTCGATATCATTCACATAAAATGACATATATGAGCTCAAAGTTGACCGCTTGGGTGGGCTTCTATTAGAGGAGGTACCGTAATCAGAATTTTTCAGTGCAATGGACACATTTTAGAAGCACATCCAGCTGTACCCCATAAACCTATGCACTCTGGCAACTCACTTATTCAAAATAAAGTACCGAAAAATGAATTGCACAGCGACAAATGAGATCAAAGCGGCATATAAGCCAGCATACAGTGCTAGCAGAAAAGTCACAACTCCTTCGAATCCAGAAATCTCTTTCGCCAAACTAAAGTACACTAAAGCTCCGTTGTAACTGTGTGCAAACGGTCTTGCGATCATTTCAACCATGGAAAATGACAATCCGAGGAACGCAAAAATGATAATCATTCGTTTGTACGGTCCCTGGATCTGCTTGGTCATCCATCCGGTTAGATAGATCAAAACTGAGTTTCCACAGATGGTCGTAAGAAACCCAAGTTCAGCAATATTACGGGAAACGTCTTGAATATAAGGCATTCGGTTTTTTTTATGTTGGCTTACAGATAACAATAAAGAAAAGTTGGGGGAAAATGACACGAAAATTAGAGGGATGGGGTATATTGGGGTTCCTGTTATTCTGCATTTTCACACCGGAAATTGATAACGGTACAATTATTAATTGTTAAAAAAGTTATTATCAATACTAGGAAAAATATTGATAACTGTCTAGAAATGTGAAAGACCAAAATGTGCCCGAGAATGGGCTTGGAATTGTACCGGGCACAGAAACCGTTTTTTTCCGGTTTCAATGAAATCTGGGCTGAAAATGACTCTGATCAAAAAGCTAGAATCTTACTAGATATTGATAAAATAGACAAAGCTAACTCATTGCATACAAAAGTTCCTAATCAATCTTCTTTTTTGTGGAAAATATTGATCACTTGACTAACCTAGACACACATTTAAAAACAAAATTAATAACGAACAACAAAATCAACAGAGCAACGATAACTGCAAGTGCGATATCTAATGAGTAATATGCAGATGTATTAAGATGACGTCCTTCAGAATCCGACGTCTCCAGAGGTCCAAACTGTCGTCGCAATGCTTCAATACAACATCTCTCGGTTTGTTTGACTGATCTTCCAGAACTTTGTCTTCTAGCATTCTTCTTGTAGTTCGAATCTCCTATAACAGTTTGAATTGCTTTTCGAATTTCATCTGGTTGGTCCAAAAGAGATTTATCCAGTTGCAGAGCTCCATTCCATATATTGTGTCTCGATGTTTTGTGCTCCCAGGAAGAAGAATTAGATCTGGTGAGGACTAGATCAAGATAAATAGGTTTAGTGTCCTTCCCAAGGGTCATAGTGTGTCGTCTACAATAACCCATTGTTTCTTATCCATTCTTCTGACATGTTTTCCTCCCACCTACTCTCACTTACGAACCGTCATCATTCTATCTGTCTCCCACTTCCCAATCCTATTCATTTATTCCTGTCAAATGCCTTTTTCAATACTCCGTACACCATTCGTCGTGCTCTCAGAAGTCATCACTTTATTGGAACCGAATGAAATGTAAGTTTGTTTTCTATTTATGAATCATACCTAATGGTAGATAATTGGATTTCATTTTGTTTTGTAGAACTTGCCCTTGATTTGCTAGAAAGTTTCGAGATACATGACAGTTGTCAGTACTTTGTATTGTGAGATTTCAACCAGAGATGCACGGGCAGTCCGTTGTCCGTTGTCCGGCCATTTTTTGGCTGTCCGTTGTCCGTGTCCGTTGTCTGTCGAAAAATTATTTTGTCCGTTGTCCGTGGAAAATATTTTTGTCCGTTCGTTTATCAGAAAAATTGAAGTTGAAAATTTTTATTTTAGAAGGGAGTTAAAATGGTGAATAAGCTCCGTTTCCAGTTCCACCACTATTTTCCATCATTAATTCGCATTTTTGTCATTTTTTAAAACAAAAAACTCGTTGAATTTGAAAAATTTTGGCCGTTGTCCGCTGTCCGTTGTCCGTTGAAAAAATGTTTGTCCGTTGTCCATTGTCCGAACAAAAAAAATTTCGCTGTCCGTGCATCTCTGATTTCAACCAAAAATATGAAAGAACCAAGGGTCAATAACTAATAGGAACCCATTTTCAGAGTGCCTGCTTCTTTCTGTTCCGAAAAAGTGAGACGTCTTTTAAAAAGGTATCATCAACGAAGGGAACCGTTGGAATGAAACTTATACATGATATGCTATGACTTTTGGGGGCGAATCGACTTTGCACATCCCAGCGACAGAATGCGGAAACCTGTCTTGTCAGTTGGACACATCTCAGAAGCTAGACACGAATCAGAACACGAATTGATTCAAATGAACGGATACAAAAGAGGGGTTTCCTCGAATTCGCCAGTCCTATATTTCGAAGATCGGTTAATGGGGGCAGAAATGATTGTAGACTATGTCACCGATCTGTTCGATAAAGATATTCATGGGTTAGTCATGGATACATATGGTATTTGGGCAATCGACTGGATCAATAATCGACAGAGGACGATGTTGAATGGCTTTGAACTTAAAAAGAACGACCTAGATAATTGGTTTGGAGATGAATTATTTGATTATATTTTTGGGTAAGAGTTACCAGAAAAAACTTTGAGGAACAGTTGGAACTTGTTGAGACGGCCAATGTGGTAGACGATCGCTATGGGTTTGTTTTTTTAAAATTATAATTTCAATGATTTATTATAATAACCAGCAAGATGGTGCGCCTCCGGCGCAATTTAACCCAGCATACATAGATTGTTTCATCGCTGAGCTTCTCAATTTTTCTTAAAGGGTCGCGTAAAGCCTTGTTTATTTTTCGAGCTTTTCAAAAGTCCACAGACTGACACCAACAGACGTCTCTAGCGTTTTATATATAAGGAAGATTATAATAATTTATTACGATGTAAATCGTGAAAGAAATAGTAACATAACAGTGAGCATAGTAAAAGAATGAGCTTAAAAGATAAAGTTGAAAAATTACACGTTTAAAAGCTTGAGGAACGAGGTGACAAAAAACTCAGAGAAACAAGTAGGCAGTAAACAAAAGATGGGATAAAAAATAAATAAGACATAGAGATCGATTGTCATTTAAAAACGATATTGAGACATAGTTATGGGTATGAAACCTGAAAAAAAAACCTTTAAAGGGGGACTCCGGCCAAAAAATTTTTTGCATTAAAATGTGTTAAAATTTATCTATTTTTCAAATATTATTGCGAAAAAATTCAAAGAAAATCCGAAATTCCCGAAAAACGGCGTTGAAAAGGAAGAAAATTCAAAAAAAAAGGTGCCGCCGGGGGACGAGGATTTTCAGTGAGAAACCTAGGCCACGGCACCTGACAGCCTTTTTTTCAAGTCGCCGACAGTGGTTTGTTACGTTTTTTACCTGCCGGACATGAAATAGAAAAAATCCGG